GTAAGATCCTGCGAGCCGCCCGGGGGGGCTCACAGGCCGCCAGGGGGACGCATCGCGCAGGCAGCAGCCGAGACTCGGCCTGAGAAGCTCCGCGGCGCCACCTCTCAGCAGCCCTCACTGCACATGCGCACCATAGCAGAGGGACGTAAAATACCTCGCCAGCCCTTAAAGGGCCAGCTACAAGAACAAGGGATACAGCAGGGAAAGACGGCCGCTGAGCCCTCCCACGCTTGTCCTCCCCGCCTACCTAGGGAGAGACTCTTCAAACACCCACCCCCGCGCGCACACACTTCAGCAGGGAGACCTGCGCTCCCAAGGGGGCTGCACGAACACACAGACACAGACCCACACACGGCTTCTCCGCTCTATTCCCCGTTGGGAAACTTGAGTTGACAATATCTTTCTTTACACATGTATCATCTTTTATTCTCTTGCTTTGAAAGTGAATTTTGGGGCCAATGCACCAGCTCCGGTAACGCTAGATTTTCGCCCACCCCATACACATACATTCAGGACGATCCGAGGCAATCTACAGTCCTGGTCTGGCTGCATTTTGTGAAATTTATAAATGAAATTGCTACAGCACGGGACCTCTTGCTGCAAAATGACACCCTAGAATCTAAGTTTTACTTTTTAAAGTTTGTAACTCTCATGTTGGGGGAAGAAAATGTTGAATACATAAATTGATTGCAACTGATATTGTCAGCTGTCAATTTGTAGACAGTCTGAGACAATACTTATAAGAAGCGTGAACTGTTCTCTTAATCTTCAAGGATTATTAACTTCAAAACCTAAATATGGCAGTATCACAAACACGTATTTAATTGCTGACCATTTTAACAGAAACATTCCATTTTGCTTTATTCCTGAATCCCAAACTGTTCTCTCCTCATTAGCACATCATGAGCAAGTCAATTCTCTGTTCAACTAAAATGAAGGCTAAGCAGGGGGGGAAATGAGTCATTTTATGGAATTGTAAGGGTCTTTTCAATGTGCTACTTGAAAAACCTAAAGAAAGTTACTTTTTTCAGGGACTGATAAAAGGACTGACTGGTTTATTTTATCACAACTTAACTGCTGGATATGGGATTTTGGAGCCCCCTCATGTATCATTTGCTTATATAGCTATTAACATCTGTAATCTCATAGAATCTCTTCATATTTGCATTTCTCTTTTCATTTGTTTCTGCTGAAGATGAGCATAATGGACCAAGTTAATCCCTAGTGTAAACCCAAACGAATTGGCCCTTTATGCCCAGTAAACAATTACACGGAGACAAAAGATACGGGATCTGATTTTACAATGTTGCATATTATATGGTCATCAAGATCTGGATTATTTCAGGGTTTTTTTATATCCTTTTCATCGATTTGAACATGAATCTAATCCTTTAGTGCATCTCACTGTGTAGATATTTATAATATACCTCTTACATTACATACATTACGCTTACAGTGGTGTCTGAACCCTAGAACAAAAGAAATATAAAAAGAAGGTAAGTACAAATAGAAGTAAACCCCCATGGTAGCTCGCTCACATTCAGTGTGCTTTTAGCTTTAGGTGGGCGCCCTCTTGTGATACTTTCAAATAAAGAACAAATAAATAATGTCCCTTGTATGAAAACAAGATTAATTCAGTGCATCATCACATTCCAGGTGCAACACAAAATATTTTAATTTCTAAGGGAAAAAATCTTTTAGAATGGCTCTTCTATGCTTAAACAAGCTGAATAATAATCTATTATCAGTAAACTCTGAGCCAACAATTATTCAAATAGGTTTAACATTAACAACTTGTGAGGCTTGTTGATGAAGTAATCAAGTTGATTAAAGCTATGGTTCAGTAGGGTCAGAGAGGTCACTGTGTATGTTTCCCATGTTACTTAACCATCTAAACATAAAACTATGACGTGGAAAAAACAGATAAGACTCCAAAAGTAAGTTTTAAGGGGCCAGTTATATTTGCTCAAAACTGAACATCAGAAGTATGAACTCAGAAACCTATCCTAAAAGCTTACTTTAAAAAAAATCTCAGTCCTTTACTTCTTATGTATAAAAATAAACAACCAAATGTTCTAAACTAGAAAAGATTTTGTGGAGACAGAATACATTGCTCCTAAAATTCCAGTTCTCCTAATTCCTCTCTTTTAGTCCTTCCAACCTCAGCCTGACAGAATGAATTGTTCAGGCACTGCTCCTGCTTATAAAATGCAGGCAATAAACAAAAAACACCTCTAACAGTGAATTCCACATGTCAAATACTGAAAACAGTAAAGAGTTGACAAGCAATCCACAGCTTGAAATATTTTCATACTAAATTATTTCAATTAACCAACCATTTTAAAAAAAAAGTATCTGCTTGAGAGTTAAATTGAAAAATGGCTAAATCTGATTAATAAATTTCAGACTAAACTGCCCAGTTACAGAAGTGATACTAAACAAGTAAACAGATCTGGGCTGAATAAAAGTTACTCTAGCAGTTTTAACCTAATTTCTGCTTGCTTCTTCAACCTAAACTTTGTTTCAATGCATTGTCTGTGTTTAGCTTTAGATTTAAATTTACTTTGCAGACAAGATATACCATATAATAAGGAACCACTCAGGAGAATATAAAAAGGTGGTTTCTTAAATAAGGTGGTCTTTTAATACAGATTCTAGATAAATGTATTAAAAAGCTAAAAGGAAGACCTATAAGAGGGTAAATACTTATAGGACATTAAATATATTGTATCAGTTATTTAATAAAACAAATACATTTTAATACTTGAAATTCCAAAAAAATTGATGTTTAATGCATAAAAAGTCTTGTGTAATCCAAATATAAAACTGTCTACAAGGTACCCACAGATGAAATCAAAGTGAAAAATCTATTCTGTTGCTGTCAGGCGTTTTATAATAATAAATTTAAGGCAACACACAGAAGTATGCAAAATGTAGTCTTCTCTGCATAAACTGTGGCCCCAATCCTGCTAATACACACATACCTAACTTCCAAGTACGTGAGCAATCCCACAAATTTCAATTTATAAGTAAAGATAAGCATATATTGTTGCTGGATCAAAGCCTTTGTACATACTTTACACATCTAAAGTATTTTAGGTGGGCTCATAGAACTGCAGAGGTTCTGTGGTCTCTAGTTCTGGTTGTTTTTAGAGTGCATTAAGAAGAGGTTTCAATAAAATAATTTAATACTGTAAATTGCTTGGAAATGTCCTGAAGTGGGAGTTCTGGGCCTGGTCTGCACTTAAAAGTTTTGCTGGTATAGTTATGTCTGGGGGCTGGGCAGGTGGGGAATCACATAAACTATTACCAGCAAAGTATGAGAGGGGTAGCCGTGTTAGTCTGGAATTGTAAAAAGCGACAAAGAGTCCTGTGACACCTTATAGACTAACAGACGTATTGGAGCATAAGCTTTCGTGGGTGAATACCCACTTTGTCGGACGCATGCCAATGTTAGTCTATAAGGTGCCACAGGACTCTGTCGCTTTATACCAGCAAAAGCACTCTTTTGCCAGCATAAGCTAAGAAGGTTTGCTGGTATAGGTGTTCTGGTATAACTATACCAGCAAACCATTTCTAGTGTAGGCAAAGCCTTAATGAATGTGGGATCTTCTAGTAGAGGTTCTGAGTGAAATCATGCTGTTTCAAGTAATTTAATTACTTGAATATAAGGCTCCTGTGTAAGGATTTGAGATAGCTAGGCAGCTTTCTCCACTAATGAAACCAGTTTAGGTTTCTTAAAAAAAAGAAGAAAAAAGAAAACAAAAAGCTAAATATTTATTTTATTCTCCATTAAGTCTTTCTGTCTCAAGGACATAACTGACTTTGGAAATGCTGTAGAAAGGCACTAGTAGTGAATGTGGTGAAACAGGTACAAACTTCCACAGGGGTTCAATAGTCCAATTATTAGGGCTTGTCTACACACAAAAATTGTACTGCGTTAACTATATCAGTATAGCTAAAGCTGCAAAACACCCCTATTACAGATGTAATTATACCAGTATAAAGATGCTTATAGTGGTTCAGTTTATTCCCATTCCCTTATGGGGACAGCTATATTAGTATCAGGCACCTTGATAATTGTGTCCACACTAAGGGTTGTACTGGTGTAAGTATTTTAGTAGACAAGCACATCCCTAACCAAAATAATTATAATGGTGGAAGAACTGCATACAACAGCCCAACATGCATGCTTTTAACTTGGGACTAATCATAAACTTAAAGTTAAGCACCTATGGAAGTGTGAGCAACCTCAAGACCAAGGTTAATTTCTAGTCCGTACAGGAATACAGTATTCTGCTTTTCCTCCCTTGTCCAGAAAAGGGTTCTTTTCTAATGTTAACAAAACCCTTCACCTCTCTAATATGTTCAGGCCTGGGTAGGCTTTAACAAAACGGCAACTCCGCAATACACTCCAGGACAGCCCAGCGCGCCCCTGCTATTCTGGCCTTAACTAAGCCCACATCCTAAGGGCGCTGCCTGAGTTATTTCCAGGCTGTTTGTGCCGCTACACCGGCCTGTGAGGGCCGAACTGGTCCCTCCCGAGCCCATCGTTACTGGACGTTGGTACACCCGCGGGCCTGCAGCCATGGCTTCCCAGTGCTGACTCGCCGTAGCGCACAGGCACGGAGCCCCGTGATCTCCGCGGCCGCCCCTAGGCTCACACGCAGCATGATGGGCCGTGCGTGGTGCTGCGGCCAGTATGCCCGGGCGGAGCAGCCTGGCCCCCCGCGGCAGGGTGCGCTTGGTCGGTCTGGCTGAACTCAGGCCAGGGCATGGCGTGCCGGGCCCGCCTCACCTCCGCATGGAGACACCTGCCTGCAGTCAGCTCCACGCTGCGGCCGTTGCGGGCTGCGGGCAGCCTGAGGAGGCAGCAGCGCCCCCGCGAGGCATAGGCGTAGAACACTCCGCGCGCAAGAAGGGCGCCGCACCCCAACCCACCCCCAGGGCGCGCGGCATCACACGTTGTCCACGCGCACGCGCACCTGCTTTTGCTTATTCCCTGGGAGTTGAGCGTGGCACCTCACGTGGTATCACGGCCCCTTGTCTCACGGGGTTGCGCCTGCGCGGTGGCGGCAGGAGCGTCTGGAATCTGAGCGTGTTTGTCAGTTTCTCCGCCCACTTCTTCCGACATGAACGGTGAGAATTTCGGCGCTAGCGAGAGGCTGGTGAACGCGGCCTACGTGCGGCAGGGGGCGCAGGGCCGGCGCGCGCATGAGCTGCGCCTGCGGGCGTTGCTGGAGCAGGTAACGGTCGTTCCTATCCCACTGCCCCGGGGGTTCTAAGGTCGCTCCCTCAGCGTGCATCCGGCCTCCAGCTGTTGTGCAGCGCGCACCCTCCCTCGTGCGCACTGATTAGAGCTGTGGCGCTGAGCAGCCCGTCCCTACCCTCAGCCACCTAGTCCGGGTTGGGGGGAGGATCCCTGCCCCCCCTTCCATGTGCCCTTTAGGGCAAGAGCGCGTGTGGCATAAACTGACACGCAGCGTGCTTATGATTTGTCTGCCCCGTAGCGCACAGGACCCTAGCCATTGGGTTGTGCTAAGTGCTGTACAAACACAGAACAAGCTCCTGGCCTTTGCCCCAAAGAGCTTACAAGCGAAGTGTAACTCCAGAGTGTGGGTGGACACAGATGGACTGGGAAATAGGAAGAATCTTGTCATTGTACTCGGTGCCTTTCACCTGTTCCTTTGTGTAGGGCATGGAGGGCCTCAGGGAAGATGCATTGATTTTTATGGCCAGAAGGAACCATTATATTCATCTAGTCAGATCTCCTGCAGAGAGGCATGCTGGGAGCATTGATATCTTCCCCCAAAATAGCCACCCAGCACCTTGTCTGGCTCCAACATTGTGTATCTTGGGCTTTGCTGCTATGTACTCCAATCAAGTTCTGTCTTCCTGTTCCTTAGCAGAGTGCTTTGCTGGGGCCCATATATTGCCAGGGACTCATCTACACTACAAAGTTAGGTTGATCTAACTACATCGCTCGAGGTGTGAAAAATTCATTCCCTGGAGACACCTAGTTAAACCAGTCTGATTCCCAGTGTAGACACGGGTAGGTCGACCGAAGAATTCCTCTCAGAGAGGTGAATTAATTACAGCAATCAAAGAAGCTTGCCCATTGCTGTAGTAAGGCCTAGTCTATGCTTAGGCTTACCATATTTGAACACTCAAAAAAGAGGACACTCCATGGGGGGGTTGGCCCCACCCACAGTCCATCCCCACTCCTCCCATGCTCCGCCCCCCACTCTGCCCCAGGTCCTGCCCCCTCCCTGCTCGGCCCCGCCACCGCACCCCTCCTCACCTGCTGGCTTGCTGCGTCCCTCCTCAGTCCCCCACCCACTGCTTGCCTCCTCCCACCTGCCACACACCTCTTCACTCCCATGCCAGAAACCCCCATGCCCACCCCGAGAACCCCTGCCTGCTGCTGGCTTGCCGCTTCTTGCCTTCTTACCCCCACCCGCCCACCGACCCGCTGCTGGCTCCCTTGCCTCTTCAACCCCCGCTGCCCGCCACTGACCTTTTCACATTCCTCCCCCCCCCCTCGCCTGCCTCTGGCTCGCCACCCGCCTCCTCACCCTCCTGCCCGCTGCTGGCTCACTCTCCTCTTCGTCGCCCCCTGCCCGCCGCTGGCTCGCCACTTGCCTCCTAGCCAGCCACTGGCTCCCTCGCCACTTGCCTCTTCACCCCACCCTGCTCGCCTACTCACCCCTCCTGCCAGAGGTCTCTCTGGCTCCTAGGATCAGGAGCAGCCGAGGGGTCTCCACGTGCTGTGCCCGCCACCAGCGCGAGCTCCGTGTCTCCCATTGGCTGGTAAAAGCGCCAATGAGAGCTTCCGGAGCTGCGGAGCAGGGCTGGCAGGCGCCAGCAGTGCACAGAGAGCCCTCCGCCCCCCCAACCTGACCTGACCCTAAGAGCCAGAGGGACCTGCCGGGAGGCGAGGTGTGGCAGTGCTTACCTGGGGTAGCTCCCAGGAAGCATCCGGCAGGTCCCTCTAGCTCCTAGGGTCGGGTCGGGGGGGTGGAGGAGGGTTCTCTGCCGGTGCCTGCAAGCCCCGCTCCCGCAGCTCTGATTGGGCAGGAGGGAGCTAGTGCTGCGCGCGGAGACCCCCTCCGCCTCTGTGCCTAGGGGCCATCCACACTGCAGGCTCCTGCCGGCGGGTGGGCACCGGGAGCTCATATTGGTGAACCGGGAAGCACTGCCACCCCCGGGACTTTGGACTGTCCTAGGGTTACCATACAGCTGTATTTTCCCGGACGTTTTTAGATATTTAAAAATTCCTCCTGGACAGCGATTTAAGAACTAAAAAGCCAGACATGTCCGGGAAAATACAGATGTATGGTAACCCTGTCTATGCTACATGGTTAGGTTGACATAAGCTGTCTTGTGTTGACCTAGCTGTGGAAGTGTCTTCACTTAAATTTGGCTCCTGCTGATGTAAGTGCCTCTCTACGCTGATTTAGTAACACCACCTCTGTGAGTGGCATAGAGTTACAGGGGATGTAATTAGATCGATGCCGTGTCAGTGTAGACACTGCGTTGCTTACGTCAACTGTTACTGGCCTCCAGATGCTGTCCCAAAATGCCCCACGCTGACAATACTATCAATACAAGCGCTTCTGGTGAGGACGCGCACTACCAACACTCAAAGCCATATGGGCACACGCACAAAAGATTTAATAACAGGTTGACATAATTTTGTAGTGTAGATGTGGCCTAAGTCTCTCTGCTACAGTGGTGCAGCTGTTCCGCTGTAACATTTCTAGTGTGGATTTACTTCATTATTTTTGCAAAATCTACTATGACCACTTGAAAAAAATTATTAGATGCTTACAAGGACGAGGTACAAAAGACAAATGAGGGGATGTCCAACAGGTAAGGTCTAGAGCCAGTGCCCTGTGAAAAGCATAGCTTCTATCTGCTGCTCAGCTTTTTACTGGTTTGTTGTCCCTAGGTCTGACTTGAGGGCTCCCTATTTCAGATTAACCTCTTCTTAGAATGGGTCTGATATATTTGAAATGCCCTTCCCCCTAACTCCTGGAAGTGGGAAGGAGCTTTCTCTCCTCCCTCTCAGAACACTCACAGTGGCTGTAAGTGTTGGTTCTTCAAAACTCTACCCTTCTCCCACCCCTGAGCTGTCTTGCTGCCATTGAGATAGACCTAAAAATACAGTAGGAGTAATGTTTCTCAAGTCCTTTCTCACTGCTCTGCTGTGAATAACTCCAGTGACCTTGCTGCTGCTCATGGCTTTCACAAGCAGCAGCCTAACACTAAAATGGTTTGTGATGGTTTCACTGTTGCTCATAGGGTTCAGAGTATCAATCGTGAAACTGACCAGAGTCTTTTAGTTTAATTCTCGTGATGCTTGGTAAAATTGTGAGCCTCACAGGTGTACTCTGTCTGGAGATTAAAGGGCTTGTTTACAGACCTGAGTTAAGAAATAAGGCATCTTTTTCTGGATGGAGTTAATCAGGGACTGACAAGCCCTGAGGAAGGCAGCACTTTGTCAGTTTACATTTGGCAAACTGTAACCATAAAATTTCTGCTTTTAGCACTTAGGCCATGTCTATGCTACACAATTATGTCAACATAAGTTACATCTGTATAAAGCCACTGCAGTTATTACATCGCTTGTGTGTGCATTTTCATCAGGAGCTCTTGTATTGATATAGAGTGCAATGCACTATAGGTAAGTATCCCACTGTGCAACTCACCACCATCCAGTGCAGGGTCTTTTGGGAAGTTCTTGCAATGCCTGATAGGACCAAAACAAGTCACGCAGGGGTGACTAGGAGCATGGAGTCAACTTCCCATAATTCATTGTTCTCCATTCCATAATTTCATCTGCATCCCATAATTTTCATGCCTTTTCAAAATTCCACAAACCCGTGTGTCCCTCCTCGCTGTCCGCCATCTCTGACAGAAGCATGAAGTCTGCACAGCTCTGCACTCTTGTCACGAGCATGGCAAGCACAGGGCATGTGATCCTGCAGTATTTACAGAGCTGCAAGAGGAGCCACGGGGAATATGATGATTCCTTGGAGGCTAGATTGCCCTGGGACATAGAAAGAACCAATTCAAAATTGCTGGTGGAATTCGTGGAGCAGTTGGAGACGGGGTGTTGGTTCTGGACCTGAGAAACAAGCACTGACGAGTGGGATTGCATCATTATGGAGGTATGGCATGATGAGCAGGGGCTGCAGAACTTTCGGATGTGAAGGCCACATTCTGGATCTGTGTGCGGAGCTCTTCCCAGCCCTCCAGTGCAGGGATGCCAAAATGAGAGCTGCACTGACAGGTGAGAAGTGAGTGACAATTGCACCGTGGAAACTTGCAGTGCCAGATTGCTACCAGGTAGTCAGAAATGAATTTGGAGTTGGGAAATCCACCACAGGGGCTGTTGTCATGCAAGTGTGCAGGGCCATTAATCATCTCTTGCTATGCTTGACTGACTCTCGGCAATGTGCAGGACATGATGGATATTTTGCAGCAGTGGGATCCCTGAACTGGAGTGAGGCGATAGATGGCATGCATATTACTATTTTAGCACCAGACCACCTTGCCACAGAGTACATTGACAGAGAGGGCTACTTTCCTACGGTTATACAAGTGCTGATTGATCACTGGGGAAGCTTTACTGACATTGGTGTGGGCTGGTCAGGGAAGGTGCATGACGCTTACATCTTTCTGAACAGTCCTGTGTTCTTAAAGCTGCAGGGACTTTCTTTCCCAACTGGCAATTACCATTGGGAATGATGAAATGCCAGTAGTGATCCTGGGTGACCCAGCCTATATCTTGCTCCTATGGCTCATGAAGTTATTCACTGACCACCTCAACAGCATCAAGAAGTGCTTCAACTACAGGCTCAGCAGGTGCAGAATGACAGTTGAATGTGCCTTTGGTTGTCTGAAGGGTCACTGGCATTGTTTACTTATACGTTTGGGCCTTAGGGAGAAAAATAGCTGAATGGTTATAACTGCCTGCTGTGTCCTGTATAATATCTGTAAAACAAAGCGGGGAAAGTTTCCACCGGGGTGGAGGGTGGAAATGAAGCGGCTATCTGCTGAATTTGAACAGCCAGCTACAAGGGCTATTAGAAGAGCTCAACATGGAGCTATATGGCTCAGGGAGACTTTAAAAG